GGCCACCCCCGCCCGGCCCCCTCTAAACTGGCCATCCCCCTCTGTCCCCTCTAACCTGGCCATCCCCACCCGGCCCCCTCTAAACTGGGCATCCCCCTCTGTCCCCTCTAACCTGGCCATCCCCACCCGGCCCCCTCTAAACCGGCCATCCCCCTCTGTCCCCTCTGAACCAGTTGCCCTCTTCCCCAGCCCCTCCCATGAGACTGCCCCATTCCCTGGCCCCTTTACAGGAGCCCCCCTAAAGTGGCCACCCTCAGAGTGAGCACTGCCATCCTGGACCACCCTGACGTGGCCGTCACTTGGCCGGGAGCACCCCCTGCTTCCTGTCCTTCCTGTGCTCCCCGTCCCCCCAAAGCAGCCCGCCTGCTCCCCAGGTCCAGGGGCTCCTGCCACTGGCCCTTGCGTCTCTGCCAAGTGCAGAGCTAGGCGCCCGCACCCTGGTGGTGGGCCCTGAGCCTCTGCCGCCCGCCCAGTCCCCTGTGCCCCCTTCTGGGGTGGGTGTTGAGCACACACTCCCCGCTGCCTGGGAGGTGTGCGTGGAGCCTGCCCGCAGCCCTAGCTGCCCTGCACTCTCCTGTGCTCCCTTAACCCTTTCTCTCCTGCAGCACTGCAGCCTGTGCGCCCGCCAGCTGTCCCCCGAGGTTCCGGCCTCACGGGCAGCGTGCATGCCCTCCCCCGCCCGCGCTCTGCTCTGCCTGTGCACCCCGCTCCCCGGCGGTCCTCACCTCGCACTTGCTGCCACACCAGGACCCGCAGCCGGCTGCAAGGCTGCCGCCTCCCTCGGGCCTTTCCTCTGCTACCCCAGGGCTTGGGGAAGAAGAGGCCCAAGGGACGCTGTCAGTTTGGTCTGCGCGCTTGTCCTGGGACAGCCCTGGGAGAGGCGCTAGCCCAGGCAGGTGGCAGGTAGGCGGGGCGCCCACACCCCAGGAGCAGGCATGGAGCAGGGCCAGTGCAGAGTACAGCTGGAGGGTCTGAGCGGCCAGCTCGGGGCTTCCTAGGTGGGAGCTGCCGCCTCTCCCGGCCTAGCCGGGCACTGCAGGGCAGGTCTGTCGCCCAGGTTCCCTGGTGGGGGCTATCCCTACCTGCTCAGGTCAGGCCTCACCGCGCTGTCCCCGGCCAGCGCTGCTCTGAAGGGGAAGGTCGTCACTCCAGAGGGAGGCAGTACCAGGGGCAGGACCTCGCCCTGGGCGTTTGGTTGGACTCTGGGAGGCCCAACTCCCTAAGAGTCCCAGTGGGTAGGCAGGACCTGGCCCCTGGAGAGCTGGGCCCCGCATGGCAGCCCTCTGCAAAGGCAGGCACCCCACGGCTCTCCATACCCCGTGGGACGCACTGCCCGTGCACAGGGGTGTATGCATCCCATGCACTGCCACCCACAGCCACAGCCAGGTCCCCGCACTGCCACCTTCACCCTCAGCCGGGTGCCCGCACTGCCACCCTCCCCCTCACAGCCAGGTGCCACACTGCCACCTACACTCACAGCCGGGTGCCCGCACTGCCACCCTCACCCTCACAGCTGGGTGCACACTGCCACCAACCCTCAGCCGGGTGCCCGCACTGCCACCCTCCCCCTCACAGCCAGGTGCCACACTGCCACCTACACTCAGCTGGGTGCCCGCACTGCCGCCCACAGCCACAGCCAGGTGCACACTGCCACCTACACTCACAGCCGGGTGCCCGCCCTGCCCCCCCAA